TGAAAACAAAAGGATCACTGTGAGTCCGATGTACGTAGTAGGACCCTGAGGACCCTGTACTAAATACATAAAAAATAAAATAAACTTGATGTAAATGGAAGCATAGTAAAAATACTCTTCTGTATCTGATTTTTTTTTCTCAAAATGATTATGAGATTCAACTGTGTTGTAAGTAGCAGCAATAATGCTTTCACTTTTCTTGCCATGTGTTACCCTAATTTGAACATGTTTTGTAGTCTTGCATTTAATTCCTTCTTCCATTTTGTACATGTTCAAGGTGGGCGACAATACTAGCCAGCATGGCTGTTTACTGTGAAGCAGCATGGTGCTACGTACCTCAGGGCTGAAACCCGTCAGCACAGTGTCATTAGCACTCTTTCCGTTTCACAGAAGGGGAAACCAAGGCTTGGTACTTGCCCGAGGTCTCCCAGCTGAGAAGAGGTAGAATCGGTGCTCAAGCCCCGGTTCTTCCAACGCATGATGCTGAGTGCCAGCTGCGGTGTGGTCGCGCCGCTCGGTCCTGGCGCTTTACTGATAACCACTAGCATGAGATGCCTGTTTTCAAGGACCTTGCCACTGTCAGCCCCATTTCCTCCTCTTGCTGATGATGCTGAGGCTTGTCGGGGTGCTGGCAAGCTACATGGCGACACTGCCAATGCTCCGGCTCAGTCTCCTAACTCCTTCAGCTGAGCAGCAGGTTACCTTCCACACGGGTGTTTCCCTACAAAAATAAAACCTCCAGTTTGGCAAGCTCTCTGGTCACTTCCCAAATTCCTGCCTTTGTTAAGTACAAATTGCAGAAGAATCCCTTTAGCTCCATGATTCCTATTAAGGTTACACCTAAATTGTCTGTAAAAAATAACTGTTCTGTGAAGGAAATATTTAAACTTCCTTTGATTTTAGAGCCAAGTAAGCCCTAGGCAGAGGGAAGTTTATTCTTAAATACAGATGACTGGATTCACAATGCTTCCTTTTTGTCCTGCTAGTTAGAGATTACTGGTTGGCCTTGTCCACCGTATCAATTTGGAAAGACTTAGGGAGGGAAGCAGGGGCTCTGCAGTGGTTTTAACCTGGCTTTGATTCAGTATCTGGATAAAAGCCTCACGTATGTTTATTTTTAAGAACATTTATTTTTATTTTCATTTTCTTTACGATGCATGCTGACCACAGAATTGGAATTTTTTATTGCTAAGTACATAAATTGGTGTCATTTGGATCTATAATGGTGGGTAGTCTGTTAAATTTCCATACTTCGGAAATGAAGTTAAGGATTTAAAAATTGGGCCCTTGTTGCTTGATCTACCATTACATTAGCTTTATTGTAAATCACATAAAACCCATTTATCTGATGCTATTTTTGTAGTTCTAATGCATATCTTAAGATTCACTTAGGGATGATTGCTTTGGGAACTTTTCTTTCTTTAAAGGACCCTAAGCTTTCTGGACAAGCAGTATGTTAGATCATCCCAATGATTGAGGAGGGAAAAGCGTTCTGTATGGGGTAATTCCAAGAGGAAGGAGGGATGCAACTTGAAGTCATCACCTTACACTGTAGTGAAGTGAAAGACCTTGCGTTCATTGGGGATGATTTAAATTATTAAGTGAAAGATCAACTTTGCAGTGGGAGAGAATCAGGCCAACAACACCTGCATGCTCTCAGTAGTTTCATCACCGATAGAAGATGCTGAGGTGTTCTCTACTTTCTAATGACGGAATAGGAAGCACCGGCACCTCCAGGGAGGCATTCTGTGAGGATCTATCACTAAGGCAGCAGTGCAGTTACATTAGACCTGACCGACCAGCTTCTAGCTCTGACTTCCAGAGCATCAGGAAACACAGGGGATTGAACTGTTGCTCTCAACTTTAACCATACATTGTAAGCAGAGGGAGAATTTCTTAAAGTCCTAGTTCCCTGGCTGTGTCTCAGTTCACTTAATTGAGCATTTCTGGGCCTGGGCATCAGTATTTTTAATTGCTTCTTCTGATATTATGGTGTCAGCCAAGCTTGGAATCAGCAGAAGAGAGGACTAAGTTAAAGGGCACAAGATTTACTCAGTATGCGAGAAATTCCATAGAAGGCCTGGCAGGTAGCTCAGTGGCTTGAGTGCCTGCCTGACAAGCACAAGGTCCTGCGCTCTGACCCCAGCACCAAAAAGGAATTCCATAGAAAAAAGCAGTGCAGGGGCCGGGGAGATGGCTCAGTGGAATAACCGCTTCGCTGGCAAGTGCAAGGGCCTGAGTTCAATCCCCGGTTCCGCAAAAAAAAAAAAAAAAAAAAAAGAAAGAAAAAAGCAGTGTTTGCCAACAAGTAAATAGTAACAGAAAAGGGTAGAGGGAAGGAACACTTACTGATGAAAGAGACTTGAGAAACAAGTCCACTGTGACGCGAAGGCTTTGTTTTATTCTAACTCAATCCAATCACCCATACAGTGACATTTTTTAGAGAATCACAAAATTTTATTTTATATTTTATTTTATTTTGGTACTGGGGATGGAACATCCACTTTGTACTTGCCAGGAAGGTGCTTACGCTGCTGAGCTATCGTGGGAGACTTTTTAAAATTTTTATTTATTTCTTTTATTTGGTACAGGGTCTCACTACACAGTTTGGACTTGTAGTGATCCTCCTGTTTTCAGCCTCCCCAGTGCTTGGATTATGACCTTGTGCCACCATGCCTGGACTCGGTGGCCAGGACGGCTTGCCCAGGGCTCTGGGGAGGCTCATGGCATGCAATACTGGGAATCGAACTTGGGTCCTTGTGCTGCCAGGCAGGCACTTAGACCGCCGAGCTCTCTCCTCAGTCAGAGAATCAGAGAAATTTAAGTAAATTCTGATTATTAGATGATAGCAAGGCATTGCACATTGATCTTGTTACTTATGATACTAGGTTTGTGATTAAGATAGAAAAATGTGCATATAGGTAGAGATGCAGACTGAAGTATTTATGGATGAAATATGGTGTCTAAGATTTTTATTAAATACTCTAGCAAAAACTAGTGACTTCAGAATAGATATGACTAGACAACAAGATGTAAAACTGTTAAAAGTGAGTGATGGGTACATTTAAAATGAGGGATTCGTTGTGCTAGTCTTTCTACTTTTGTGTGTTTTAAAGATTTTCATGAGAAACAGATTTAAAGAAGCTATATGGTTAATTAGATTAGAACATATATTTTTCACTGTTATAGAGTAACAACACAAAGCCTCAGAAGATCGTGTGAACTATGAACCTGCAACAACATGTTTAAGCCTTTTTGTCTAAGCTAACATTTTGTTTTAAAGAGAAATACAGGTTCAGTCATTTATTATGCTTATATATTCTTTGCAGATGATTCCGGGCCTCCTCCTTCTACTGTTGTCAACCAAAATGAAACTTTTGCCAAAGTGATTTTTAAGCCTAGTGTGGTACAGCAAGCCAAGATTGCCCAGAATGGAATTCTGGGAGATTTCATCATCCGATATGATGTCAACAGGGAGCAGAGAGTTGGGGACATCCAGGTAACACATTCTGTGTTGCTATTTTAAGGTTTGATATTTTTCTCTAAACTCAGAACTGTTGATTCCAATACTTCCCTAAAAGTGAAAGATCATTCTGGTTCTTAGTAAATGTTTTAATCCAAAATATGTCTTCAAAGAGACTAGTGATGCTCTTGCTGGAAGTTGAGAATACCTATTTCCTGCTTCATTAATCTGCACAGCAAATGAAATCTATAATATAATTTTTCCCTGTGGTGTTTTAGATGAGGTTAGAATTTTAGTTCATCTTCCCTTTTAATTAAAAGAAACTGTTCCATAACTTATTTCCCTTTAGGTTTTATTTCTGTAGAGACAAGATGAGAATTTTAAAATGTATTAATGTGCATCGAGAAATTAAAGAACAGAAGAAGCAGTGTTATCAAGTAAAAGGGTCAGAAGGGATGGAAAATTAAAGTCGAATTGATTGTTATGATTAGTAATTTTTTTTTTTTTTAAGTGCTGACAAAATCCAGCCCAAGGCCTGATGAAACAAGGAGTCTACCACTGAGCGGCACTCCTGGCCCACAAGAAATAGAATTTAAAATGATGATTCTCTGTTGATACAGATTAGCAGCCAGTTCTCTTGGGGAATCAGGACTGTAGATAACATGACCCCAGGCTGTTTCATGGAGTCATTGAGCTCTGGAAGTTCCTCGTTGATTTCCCTCCATTTTTACTTGATTTTTCCTCCACCAGGTCCTAAATGGTTACTTTGTGCACTACTTTGCTCCCAAGGACCTTCCTCCTTTGCCCAAGAATGTGGTCTTTGTGCTGGACACCAGTGCCTCCATGGTAGGCACCAAGCTCCAACAGGTGAGTGTGCCCGCCGCCCGGGCTCTCCTCCTTCCACCTTGTCAGAGATAATGATCAGCTTTGCGAATAAATCTCACTTGATGCCAAATACCCACCCGCCTGGCTGGTGCTACCAACAAAGAACACTCCTGGACTGATCCACTGATGCCATTGACATAAACCACTGCTGTAGTATGGAGGTTGTAAGAGAGCAGAGGAATAGGTTACAAAAACACTGTGACATTCAGGGCACTGGTAGAGGGAATAGAGTGAGACAGGAGGAATGCAGCGAGAGGCCCACTGGGTGCCGCTGTTGGCAGAATAATGCTGTTCCGTGGCGGTTCCTTTGAGAACGGTGGAGCAGAACCTCTGGAAGTTCCCTTGGCATATCCTTAGAATAAAGAATTCTCCTATCCCTTACAATGAACTTCAAAGGTACAGGGATGGAAGGGACATCAAGAAGACGTGTAATCTGGCTGGAAGAATTCAATTATCCTGAAAATAAAGCTACTTACATCTTTTGCCAGCCATTACCGTTAGGAAAGTCCTTATCTTACGCTGGCATCCAAAATATCAGAATTTAGAATTGGTAACATATCCTCAATGCGCATAATGCCTGGCTTTCACGTCGCTGAGACAGTATCTCATAGTTGCAGTTTAGGGGAGAGATACTTATATCGGCTCATGGTTTAGTCTATGGATGCCTGACTCTACAACAGAAAGGGTGGAAGAGGGCCTGGCAGAAGAAAAGGTGCAAATGCCATGGCTGTAGGGAGCGAGAGAAGGGAGGAGCTAGGGACAGTAATCCGCCCTTCAAGGCCACGCCCCCAATGCCCCACCTCCCACCAGGCTCCACCTCCCTCCCCGACTACAGGGTCGCCATAAGGTTCCCACCATCCACTCATCTTCCAAACCATGAGACAGTTAGGTGGTATTTTAATTTTTTTTTTGGTGGTAGTGGAGATCAAACTCAGGACCTTGCGCTTGCCAGGCAGTTGCTTATGCCATTGAGCTGTATCCCTAGCCCCCTGGTATTTTAAAGTCCTCACACATAATGTAAATTGAGAGCTATTGCTGCCAGATGATTCATATTTATAAATTCATCAACAACTGAGGTCGGAGCTGGGGAGATGGCTCAGTAGAATAAGTGCTTCTTTGGCAAGTACAAGGGCCTGAGTTCAATCCCTGGTTCCACAAAAAAAAAAAAAAAAAAAAAAAAATTCAACTTCAAAACAACTGAGGTCCTTCAACTTTCATTTCTAAGTTCACTATTTTTTCAATTAGTAAAGTATGT